CCTATTCAATAACTCCCAGTCGTCTATAACAGAATGCAGTACAAACATGCAATATGTTACATTATGTTTGTAGATGATTTATACAAAGTAGTATAAAACTAGTATTAACATGAAATCATTCTTTATTCGTAATATGTGTGGCCTATCTTAACATTCTACATAATTTCTTGCTCTAATATCAGCAAGCATCATTGTTAGACTGACTTGCAGCTCCTGGTGACTTTTCTGTTTTCAAACATTTTATTGGTGGAAGAGTCTCAGTTTTTAGTTCACCGTGTGCTTCCCAGCAGAAAGGTTCACGTAAGCTTGCTTTTCCTGTGGCCGGCTTAAGCTCTATGGTCGACAATGAGATTCCTGTGCATGGCAAGCTATCACTGCAGGCAAAACGTACTGGTTCCCTTGTGTAGGTACCTTTTATGTTTATGTAGTTTATGTTTGATACAGCGACTGCTGAAGTTTCATTGTTGCATCCACCACCATCGCAGTAATATTGATCAATTATTATCGGATTGGCTACTTCGCTGACTTGAATATTTGAAAACGTAACTTGTTTTACAGACCCTGACCCTCCCTACCATTAAACATAACAGAGAGTTGTCAGCATCCTTGAATTGTTATCGCATGCTACTTTCAGTTGTCTTTGCCTCTATTCAGTTATGCAAATATTTGTGTAGGAAAATTTACCTGCCAAGATTTTATTCGAACACCATTTGTAGTTTCATGCATCGTGACATCACGAACCGTGATGTTTGAAACACATGCCTTTGTTTTCTCCTTTCCTAGTCCTCCAATGCTAATTCCATGGCCAGGCCCACAGTCTACATCGTGTATGTAGATATCCAAGCATCCAGTTTGAATTGATATACAGTCATCTCCTGTAGAATGCAATAAATTGTTATAGTCTGAAAATATATGATGATTTAACTTCTAGAGTCTTATTAAGAATGAGTTGACTTGTAATATTTTTTAATTTAAACAAAATGGGACATGTTTGAAGTCTGTGGTTACCACAAGCCAGTGTGCTGCGGTAAATCATCGCATCTTGAGAGTTTTGCAGGTGGATTCCATCTGTGTTTGGGGAATCTCCAGGGGATGAAGTTGTGAAATCAAACACTTGAATGCTTATGCAGTTATCAAACTTGAGGTGGGTTTGAGGGCTGTTCTGTATGGTTATTCCATTGACCGTTACACCGTTACTCCCATAGAACCTCAAAGCCTACATACCAACCAAGGTAATTCCACAATAAATTAAGTTTCAAATGTTTATTTCAATTGGCTCCTCAATCCATGAGATGAATCAAATGAAACTTACTGTTGGTTTAGTTTGTGGCATTTTCGTACCCTGTTGATCCACAAATCAAAAAGAACAAGTAGAGGTTATTGCAAACTAGATTTTCCAATTTTGTTTGGCTAAGAAAATTAAATTTGTTTTTACCATGTCGTTCCACCATACTGATCCTCGTCCATCTATTACCCCTTTTCCTTTTATAGTGATTCCTTTAAGTGATTTGAATTCTATCCATTGCAAGAGACCTGATCCCCAGGTACTTGAACTCGTTGGAGCTATGATCTTTCCTTCTAACTGCACAATGTCCAAATATAGTGAGTCGCGATTATGTAACTAGAGATGCTCGAACATCATTTCTTTGTTTTTTAATTTTCTTTGAAATTCACCTGAAATACGATGTTCTCTTTACATTCTTTTCCCAGGAAGGAAATAGGTCCAACAAGGAACGTTGAACCAGATGGCACTAATAATGTTGATGCTGCCACCTTACAAGCTTCCTTCCAAGCATCTTCAAAAGCCTGCAATGTTAACGGTACATTGATCATCAAAGTCTATATTTTTTTGGACGCTTATGGTTCCATTTATTTATCGATAAAACAGATATCTACGCTGCTAAAACATAGAAATGCTTATTTCACCTTTGTGTCATCACTTGTCCCGTCACCTTTTGCGCCAAAGTCAAGGACATTGTGGTTTCCAGAACCTCCACCTTCAGCGATAGACCTGCGGTTTCCTCTCCAATATACACTGTGCCTAGCGTCACAAGTCCTGAAGCTCGTAGTGAATAAGGAGATTAAGAGGAGAACATTCAAGGCAAGACAGTTCAAGGTTAGTCTATACATCTTTTAATATCGAAAAAGAATTTGTTTGTAGGAAATATTTGTTTAGATATGGAATGAAGAGGAAGTGATATAGCGAGGCTCATATTTATAAGTTAGAAAAAAACACTGTTTCACATATGAGTAATGAATCTATGATTAAACAGTTAGATGAGGACAAAAAGCTTTGGAACTCTCTTCCTCTTCAAGCATATTCTACTCATCCGCTGTATTTTATTTAATCACAAATGAATTGAAAGGCTTGTGGGGTTTACTTGCTTGATCAGGTTGTTCTATTGACCGCATCATCACACTATACTTGTGATTAGGCTTTGATTTGTTCTTTTGAATGTCAACATACAAACATCAACATATTTACTTACGAATTGGCTTTGATTAGTTTTTTGAATATGCATGTTACTTTAGAATTTGTTTTGGTCGCTACTAACATCTCACTGTTCTTTAGCATTAATTTGAAGTTTCATTAAATGGCTATATATATATGTATTACTTATGTTGAGGTTTGTGTGCAGTTCTTAGTCGCTGGAAACAACTGACCATTTTCGTTTATAACAGAACATGGGTCTTGTCAGATACTAACCGATCTTGGTAATCTGTTTTGGTTTGATCAAAACCAAAATCCTTATCATGCAATGCTAGAAATGGTGAAGGCTTTTCGAAGAGTCAAGAAAAGTTGCCATACAAAATATACAATTACAGGTATGTRACGTAAACCTCATCATAAGATAATCTTTTAATATGTTTAGTTCCTTAAATCAAGCACGGTGATGTAGGTTAAATCTATGGTGTCACTATCTCACTGATATCTTCTAAAACGTAATTATTAAAATCTATTAATCCTTGATCTTCAACTCGTATATATTCAAAGATGATCGATACGGTTTACTGTGTATAGTGAGAAATAAAAGAGCAACATCTAAGGATTTTAGGGTTTAATTGTGGTATATTGTAAGATTCAAATTCAATGTTTGAAATCGAACTCGTGATATGAAGAAACACTTTGCATGCAGATGCAGCCCCAGGTGGAAGGATATAGGCTGCTATATAGAATTATAAATTGGCACGTTGCTACGTGTATGCATCCCATGCGTTTGACAATGGTTGTTGAATTATATTCTATTTGATTTCATGATCTTGAGAAGCCTATTGGTCCCCAAATTTATGATAATTTAGTAACTACTTTTGTTTGAAATTGTTGTTACTATTTTATTAGTTATTCTCTTGCTTTTGGCAGTTGAAGCTTGAAAGTGTGATTATTATGATTTCTTACCCGCTTCTTTCTCAATACCTTTGCGTATATTAAGTACGACATAGGTAATGTTGCAATCTCTGTAAGATTAAATTTTGTGTAGAATTTTGTGTATTTGAAAATTGCACCATCATGTCATCTTAACCCCGTGATTTGATGTAACGTTTATTACGACACGCATGTATAATTAATTATCTATAGTTTTGTACTAATGTCATCTTATACTAACCCGTGTATAATATAAATCACTTTTATAGTAATGTTTTTTTTTTTGTCAACTTCTATATTAATGTTTACATGCACGGATTTGTAGGCAATTCTAGAATAACGCCAATTTGTCCAAGATCGTGTACGAAATCCACTCTTTTGTCGTAACCGTTTAAAAACAATTTGGTATTAGTAAACTCCCAAAATTCGTATATGTATGTATGTATTAAATTGCTGTTACATCACTTCCAATTTGTCAACCAAACGACAGTATAGTAGCATTATATTAACCGAAGCCCAATTATCATAATTCGTCCATAAAAGCCCAATATAATTTGAAGGCTCATCACGTGTATAACCAACGGTCGAATAAGACACGACATCGTTTACAGAACCACAAATCTTGTCGCTTTATGCTGACTTGGCGGTTTCGTAATGCAGATATCCTTTTTATCTGACAAAAACTAACATTATTGTTAAGAAATACCGAAAAAGTGCGGAGCGAGAATCAGAATACGCTACGCTTCACTAAGCGTCTCCTACACCTCCAAATCTTAACCGTCCAATTATTTCTGACTTTTCCTGATCTAAATCTATCCGTCGATTAGAGAAGCTTACCATACAGCTTAGCTGCAGGAAAGTAAATTCAAGCAACATTAAAAGCAGTCAACACGAATGACGTGAGTCTAATGTTATTCCAACCAAAACACGCCACGTGTACGTGTACTCTTCCTCATGCCCGGACGTCAAAACTAACTATCAACTAAAACTTTGAAACTTCCTATTGGGGTCCGCTTTTTCTCTGCCATCAACAAAAACCAAATACACAGAGAGAAAAACTCACAAACACAGCACG